TTCAAATTGTAATAATTTTAATGATGTTAAACTTTGATTTTTAAAATGTAATCATTTTAAACTAATCATGAAAAATTGTAAACTACATTCAGCCTATCTCAAGATGATGAGACAAAAAGCTGAAAACCAATTATTGATTTTTAATAAAATTATGCTTTAATCCAATTTTTTTCTCTTTTATCTTAAAGATGAACCAAAATATCCCACCCGCGATTGAAAAGGGTTCTAAGATGACTGGTTGTGGTTGAACCTATTCAATAATTAAACAAGAGTTGAACGGAATGATGTCCTGTATCGACTTGAACGAAAGGTGGTTTGATGCTGTCAAAGATGGATTCTTTCGTTTTAAAGACGCTGATTACTTGCAGTGTTTCTGCTGTGGACTTCAAGTTTCATTCGAATTTTTGGACTAAGATATTGTCGCTCTCCACGCTAGCTTCAGTCCCTCTCACAGCTTCGTGCTGAAAAAGGAACCGAATTTTATGCACAGGGTCGAAGGCGATTTACATCGATATAGTGATGCTGTGCAGGTTCAAGAGATAGATGATGAAACATCTATATCTCTACCGATATCGTCTCTTGTTCGATCAACAGATGGGAAATACTTCAAGTTTTCTCTGAGACAAAAATTCGTGGTAAGACTTCGGATTAGGTCCACAAGTTTAGAGACTTGTAATGTCAAGGTTATTCTGAGGACATTTTGTAATCTATATGCATTATTTTTCTGTGTATTTTTGTTATGCTAGAACCCATCCAAATACATAGGCGTAATGCACATGTACACCGTATGAAGGTGCTGGAATGTTAAATCATGAATCTGATTGTGCATAGCTACGTCATTTATATTTGCATATTGTTATTCATCGTTCACCCGTTTTCATATACTCCAACCACATCATTCTCGTCTACAGGGAGCGTATTATACGTGTATCTACCTGTGAAAAGCATAATAGAACATTTACCGTGATTTGACCTTGAGATGACTTTGACATTATTGTGTGTGACTTTGAATTGATGTTCAACCAAATTTAGTACTTCTATATGCAGTGGTTCATTAATTATAGTAAAAAATAAAGTAAAATGAATAAAGTCTCAAAAAGAACACACTATAAGTACTCACCCCGTAGTAGCTAGAGTCTTAATTTTTTTCATGATAGTACTTCATACCACTAAGTATAACAGATACAAAAATCAAGAGGTAAAATGCATTAGTATGCATAAAGAAAACTTCATTTTTACCCATAGAGCTCTATGGCAAATTTTAACTTTGAAGCCCTGTATCTCAGGAACTAGATCTTTCTGCATATAAAAACTCGCACATAATATGTAGTTTGACATGAGCTATATTTACGAAAAATTTCAAGTCTCTAAACGTGCGGACATAAGTCCAGCCAAAGAAAAAGATGAGAAAGAGAAAACGGAAAAAAGTGGCCTCATTTGTGTAGTTTTACTACTACGTCTGACTTAATATTTACAAGATCGGCTCCAATTTCTAGCAAAACTGTTGATCAGCTCGAAAAAGTGTTTGAACAAAGATGTTACCCGTTACTATTAAAGGTCAGAAAATAAGTCTCATTCCATTCCCCGGCGCAAGTAGTATAAAACTGCATGCTCTGGCTCATTTTCAGGTTCACTGAATCTGAAAATGAGCTAGAGCATTCAGTTCATGATACTCTTATTAGTAATATAAACAGTCTATTTTTTCAAATCACGTAAGTGATACGAGCTGTTAAATAATAATTATACAGCAGCAAGATGTCTCGCGTAGATAATTATTTGACACTTTTAATTGCATGTATTTGTAATTATTATTAATTACATTCAGTTCAATTGATTCATTTTAAAACTTAAACATGCACATTACATCTTGATTATACAATTTGAAAATCGTATAAAAGATGGTTGAATGATTGAAAGTAAATCATTCAAGTTTCGAGTTTCAAACTTCAAACATTGTTAATAGTTTAAGTTATAAACTTTGTTTGGTTTATTTTGGTTATAATAGTTTTTCATTAATTGTTAATTTGATTTCTCTTTCTGTTGCTGTTTATTTTCATTCATTTCCATCAGAATAATCAGGATGAATACATCAATCAAGAAAGTGAAAACTGTCAAAAAACAGCCGCTGAAGAAATACCAGTGATTAATATACAGGGCTATTCAACTTCATTTTACGCATATTTTTAGTTATAAGTCAAGAACCAATGAGTTTAAAAAGATCAAACCTCGTACGGATACATATCGGGACTGAAGGACTTCGCATAAAAAGTTTCAAGGTCATTGAGGTCATTCAATTGGGATAACAGAAAGTTATCCCATCACTGAAGTTTTGGTGTCAATATCAGTTCAAATAACGGAGAGCCATTGATTTGAATGAAATAAGCAGTGGTTTGGAAAATTGACATAAATCGTGGTACACCGCCAATGATTTTGAATTATTAATTGAAACTTGGACCATGGACCAATTTTTTGCTCTTCTTTTCAAAAAAACCTTCAAATGACCTCTAGATAGGTTTGAATGTTGAAGTTGAATAGCCCTGTACATGAAGTGATGAAAAAAGTTGCTCGAAAAAAGTCCGAACCCATTAAAGAACCTGAAGTTCAAGAGTTGAATCTAAGTGAAGACGAGTTATAAGTTGAATCGGAATCAGTATCTGGGAATTCAATGGTTCCATCTTGTTCTTCTCGAAATGAGCTGAATAATGAAACTGAATCAAAGAAAAGAAAACTGGATTGGGAGCCAATTAAACTTGATCTCACAAATGTACCAGGAAATCGAACTATAACAACATCAGACAGTAGTCATCAAGACAACAAATTCATCATGTCGGACAATCTAGTATTTTTTACTGATCGTTCACATTGTGGTGGTAAAGTTTGTAAAATTCGAAAGTTCTGGTTCAAGAATGGCCAAGTGGAAGCCTCGAGTTCTGGTTTAGAATTTTACTGAGACGACATTCCCAAATTCATTGCTCATCTCCAAAAAGTATATACTAAATGGACTTAATGAAACAAAAAATATAACATGAAAACTGAATTGTATGACTAAATGAAAATAATTTGAATATGATTAAATAATTTTGCAGACAAGACTATCAACTTGAAATTGATTTTTCAATTAAAATTGCCAACGAAAAAATGATTCTTTGAGTAGAAAGAAAAGAACATTTATATAAATTCCATCCAAATTTGAATAGCATTTGAATTCATGTTAATCATAACCATATTCTGGATGAATCTATTGAATCTCTTGAATCAATATTATGTTGATTGAAACTTATAAATCAGTTCTAATTGAGTTGAATTACTTTTCATTTCATGTTAATCATCAGAATGTTTTGAATCAAGCTCAACACTTTCTTGAATCAATATTATGTTAATTGGAACTTATAAATCAATTCTATCAATCAATTCTGGTTTGGCGGAGTATTTCCAAGTGACCATTTACTAATTGTATTTAAAAAACAAAAAAGTTTTATTATAATTTAGATCCGAGTTATAAACCAGGAACACATTGGACTGCAGTTCACTTCACAAAAAATGGAACTGGACTCTTTTTTGACTCTTTTGGTAGATAAGCTGAAGGGAATATTTGGTAAGGTCCAAGATGTTTTGGTAAAAGGAGGAGTCTCTTTTTTCCCCCTTCCCCCTTAGCAACTAAAAAAGTTGTTAATGTGATAAAAATTTGATAGCTGCAAAGAGCATCGTTGTTACGAAAAACCGATCGAAAGTTTCAACTTTGAACGCGCTTTTCTCGAAAAGTGTTGATCATGTCACAAAATCAAATTCATTTTTGTGTCCTTACAAACGTACAAAGCCTAAACTCTTGCCCGAAAAGTTCAATTTATTGCAGAGTGTTCTTTAATAAATGCACAGAATCGAATGATAATTTGGTTTCATTCATTAATTTTACCTTCTAATCAGGTAAATTAATCAATGCGTAATCACGTATTCGTATCTGTGATGATATTGTAATCATCATTATTATGATACTGAGCATTTTTAAATTAAAATTAACTCTATCGTGGTTAAGGATTATTAAATCACATCTGTTGATACCTTGATTGTTGTTAACAGTGTCGCAAATCAATATTGATTAAAATTATCTCCTCGATGTTTATGTTGATTTAATAGTAACAGTTTCTCATCACAAGTTTCATTTTTACCCTTATTATTATGTTAACATTTAGTTGATTACATTTCTGGTCATGTTAATATGATGATGCTGATAAATTTAAAATTTAAAATTGTTTTCGTTAGCCAAACAATTAACTATCTAATTGTCTCTCAGAAAAAAAACCATTAGTCAAATCAATGAGTTTATTGACTCTCCGATTCCAATTAATTGATTGTTAATCCTTAATTGTTACATTCCCATACAACTTTCAATTATTTATAAATTGTATCTTCTCATTGATTATGATTAAATAGTCATCAATATTCAATTACTCAAATTGTATTGTAAACACAATCAATGATCAATTTTATCTTTGTATTAATCTTTCATTATACAGTCGGAGAAAATGAGTTTGACGGTGGTTTTACATGTTTTTTGTATATCATTCGCGCAGGCAAAAGTGATAACATCAATTTATCAATCAAATCAATGTTAAATTTGAATCTCTTGATTATCTAATCATTGATAAATTGTTGTTACAGCAAGTTGGAACATAAAAACTACCTTTATTACATGCTTTTTTACTCACGTGTCAACCTCAGGTTGGTCCTCAACATCATCACCTTCGCTTAAATAAGCGTCAGGATAATCCTAAAAAAAGCATTAAAGGTTGATTTTAGATTATTGGGGCTCACCTTCACTGAACGAACCGTCTTGACCTGAGTGCTCGAACCAAAATCAATCGCCTAATTCGAGATTTCTGAACTGATCCACCATTGTGCAAGCAAATGTTAGATCTACAAGAGCACCAGAAATAGGAGTCTCTGAAATATCCGCCGAGAAAAGTGTCAATATCTTTAATGTTGGAGTAGATTGACTGGTATCAAGATCGTTGAATAGGTTTCATGTATTCATCAAGTTGAGACCAATCGATAATATCTTTCGAGTAACAATGTTTAACCGATGAAGTGTAACTTGGAATTGCACGATCACGACCTCTTTTTATGTTTATCGCAACCAGATAACCGCCGAATCGATCATTGTGAGTTTGGTACAGGTGGTTTCTAACATCCTCATCAACTCCAGGTCCCCATGCGCTTATCGGAGTTGCTATCAGACCACGAATTGTTGAGTCAAGTGTACTGTCTCTTAGAGTGTAGGGTTTACAAAAGTTCCCTCAATCGATATGGTTCGGAATCCATCCCATTAGACTCGAGCGAAAACCCCACGAATCAGTGCATGTCCAAATCTAAATGCCGCTGTATTAAATTCTGACGTTATCGTCGGATCTCGAGTTGGATCATATTGAGTAAATCCAGTTGATAAAATGTTCAAATCATGTTTCATAAGATCTGGGCCAAGAACAATTGGAAGCCATTCCTTATAAGTGACCACTTGCAACTGAGCGGCCAAGATGCGGCTAAATTAAATTAAATCAGGATCATTAAAATTAAATTGTTTCTTCTCTACAATCAAAGTTAATTAACTAACCAAGTTTCTTGAAAGATTCTTTCACCGTATTTATTATCAATATTCGTATCAATAGACATTTAATAAAGAGTTGAACTGAATTGAAGTAATTTAAAATTCAAGGAATTGGATTAGTAATTATAACGAGCTATCAGTTTTGTAAAGTTAAGGAGTTAAGACTTTAAAGGTCGTAATCCTATCTTCAAAAATTGTGCAATTGCTTGAAAAGAAAACTCGAAGAAAATAGAACTTTGGAGAAATGAAGTTTGTAACAGCAATTTTACAACTAAATCAGAAACATTCAAGTTAGACAAATGAGATAATGTTATAGATGATATGAATGAATATACAGATAACCCACAATAAACAGGGCCTGTTTAACAGGCAACTTTATTTGATGCAAAGGTATGGGAACGGCAACCTCAGTTTTTAGCTACCCCCAGCTATCGATTTTGCTTAGTTGATTTTATCTGGCTCACATTGCATCTTGACTGAAGAAGTCATTCCTTCTTTGTCATCAGCGACACTTCCCGTTTATTCAAATTAATAATTTTCAATTAGAGCCTTAACAGTAGCTTTTTCATGTTGAGGCATGTTTTTGTCAGCTGACCTCAACTTTCGGAGCAGCTAGCTTTGCTCATACCAAAATATACCAAGTTCGAACTTGTAGATTCTTTCTCCGAATCTCAGAATTTTGACAAAAACGCTGAAAAAACATTGAAAACCGGAGGAAAAACTTGTTTCATCTAAATATCTAAGTTAGAGTGACACTTGTCTGAACAAGTAGTTTCCGGTTTGAGTATCAATTCATGCAAGCAAATGGTCAGAAAGATATCGACAAATTTGTTTATTCAATCAATAACTATGTATGTCATATATTAAATAAATTGAGATGCCATAAGTTTGTCTTTAGTTCAATTCGCGTTCAATTTGAAAGGGGCACATCAAAATCTGCCCATGGCGGAAAAAATTTTTGTGAATTTTTCTGAGACAACTTTTATGCTGATTTCAAAATATTTTCATGAATTTGTCATATTTTGGTTGATTTTTGTATTATTTCAGTTACAAAGTATCAAGAATATTCTAATAAACTACTAGAATATATTATTATAATAGTAAGATGACAGAGTCCATGTTTAAATTTAATTCAGTGAGAAATTAATGAAATCACCTATTACAATGGAAGAGGCAATTGAAATTCCTGATAGCAGAGTAATGAATGGAATAAGAAGGTAACTGAATGTGATTGCTACGAATGAGACACGAGTTTCGTCTATTCGATTCATACATGAAAAAGGTGCTCGTAGAAGACCAAAACATTTCAATCGTATTCGATAAACTATCCGACTATACATAAGTCCAGCTTCGAATGCTTTATAACTTCGATTGAATATAATTTTACTAATATTTTGTCGATTTATCTTATTGATTAGAAAGCTATACTGTGATTTGAACATTGGAACTATTGATATATCATATGGCTCAGTCCAATGATCACCACGATCTAAAGTACAATCATAACTTTTGAAAATTTCCATTATTGGAGTGAAGTTTATCTCTGCGTATTGTTTTAGTTGGGCGAATTTATAAAACTCCTCAGTATTTTGACTTCCCCACCGGAAAATTGTTAACTTTTCCGAAATTCGGCGAGAAATTGGTAGATTATCATTTTGAATTCGAAACATACAGGGTGAATTCTCTTGAACAAGAGGTTTATAGTTATATTTTAAAATATCTTCTAAAGTTTCCAGTTTAAGACTCTCGACGTTAGAGATGAGATCAGTTTTTAACGAAGTTGAAAATATAATTATCGTTGAAAGTGAAGTTAACATAAAGACGGCCAACAGAATTTTATTAGAACTAATCAGTGATCGATTAAAGTTTTGATTCGAAAGTAGTTTGATTTGTATCCAAATAATTTCCATCTTATTGATTGAAGATCTTGAATAACTTTTATTTGTTATGTAAAGGATAAAAGATAAAATATTCACCAGAAAGAATATTGTTAACCAGAACCAAGGACCGAATACAAATACAAAGTCAACAAATGTCGAGTACGCGACATTGACCTTAAGCTTTTTCTTATAGCCTAAATTACAACCATCTTCAGCGGCTATCGAGGCAGTGGTCAAATTAATTCCAGTACTGTTCAGATCACTTAGAGCTGTTGGTAGAATGTAATCAATATTACCAATCTGAAGATCGTACAATGATTTCGTACATGAGCCATTAGAGAAACATTTGGCTCCAATTGGATCTTCGATAGGTACAAAAGTCATATTTAGTCCATTGAAAGTCGATGATAATATTTCAAGGAAATATTCTGCCGTTGTCCCTAGAACAGTCTTAGAATTATAATAAATCCAAAAATGAGAATTATCAAAAACGCCAACTCGAATTTCACTCATTTCAATTTAGAGAATCACTTTTCTCAAGTTAGACGCTTTTGTGATATTTATTAATCTCATTAGTTGATTGAAAGGTCTTTTGTCATTTCCATTTAATTACTGATCAGATAATTAATAAAATAAGAAGATTACGACGATATTAATAAAACTTAAATGGTGATTAACGTCATTCTACTGAAAATTCAAGTCTCAATTAATATTTAATTAGTTTGATTGATCCTTAATAATTAACAACAATATCGACTTCTTGATTCAATTACTTTGAATTGAAATATCAAAGTAAAATGTTTGATGAATCTATTTACAGGGAAACATAAATAGCATTTCATAAGATTAATCTATAACTTTGAAAAAAAGCAATTAATTGCGGAGAATTGTGATTAAGTTGTTGAGAAAAAAACTTATTTTGAAAATACTGGGAAGTGAATTTCAATGATCTTGGATCAAGGCCCTTGGTCTTTCAATCGAGCATTTCATTCAAGTTTTGAGTTTCTAGGGATCATGGTTGCCGAGTAATAGTTGAATAGCCCTGTATTTTTCTAATTGTTCTGTAATCAGAATTATTCCTCAGACAAAGCTCGAAGTGTCTCCTTTATTTATTTGTCTTCTTTGTCTTCCTTCACACATCCACATGGTAACTGTTGTTTGATAGTAAAGACGAAAATACTGAGGGAAGGAAAAATTACCAGTACAAAATTCAGATATGAACGCTTTGGGTTAAATTTGCAATAGTCATTGCTCATGCATTATAGAAATATAAAAATATTCTCTTCAAAAAAACAAAAAAATAAAAAAATAAAAAACAATTAACGAGATTTCTCAATATTGCAGTAAGCATGGTTACTTGTTTTTAGTTATTTTGATAAATCAACATTGATTGAAACCTCGTGTATATTTTTAACTCGCTACGAATCTAATTTAAAGATCAGCCAACTTGATTGTTTAACCAATATAGCTGAGGTTGACCCTCTCTCAGCACTTTTATTGATGATACTTTTTACCTTTCTATTGAAAATGGTAAGAAAACTAAATGAGAACCCTTTAAATTCAGTTAATTGTTATACAGAAATTTATTATCAAATGATTGCAATTGTTTTCAATGGTTTACTCCCAAGTGTCACCAAGTTTAGACAAAAATTTATCATTGGTTTTATTATTATCTCATTGTTGTCACTCCGAACCATTTACTTGGCTGGTTTTCATACTGACCTAACAGTGACCGATAAACATGAGCCAGTTACGAGTTTACAAGATATTTTAACGGTCAATTTAACCGCAATCATCGCCACACCTTCATCTTGTTATAAAACTCTGACGATTTCGGAATAACCTCATAAGAAACAGATTTTATCTTCGTTTGTTATCATGAAACATTTTCTTCGGTTTACTGAATTGGTGGGAATACTATATTTTCCATTCAATTTTCGAGATTCTTACATGTAATCAAAATTCACTAATTAAATTCAATCGATAGATTGAAAGCTCAAAAAAAGTGATTGTCCTTGAACTTGAATTGGTTATATAACTATATAGTATAATCATAAAAATTTCATAGTGAATATTTGAATCAATAGAAAGGTAATTGAATTGAAACTGAAGATTGAATTAGGTGATTTTTTATAAGATTTATATAAATAAGAAACAAATTTAATCACGATAAAAGTGAACAAGTAAAGTTTGACTTTGATATGATCAATGAAGGTTTGGGTTGGCATTCGTGCTGATGAGTTTCTGCGAGCTTTGCTTTGAATGTTTTTGATACGTTTCTTATTAATTGTCTAATGTTTTGCCAATTGTTCTCATTAATCTCCCACTTGTTCCCAATTCTATGATTTTCACATTTAACTAAATGATTAACGTTCATTGCTTCACAACCTTCCTTACAAGAATTAAAGGGTGTTAAGGATAAAGTGTTTAGAATAGGAGGAGCTTCTTCTTAATTTTATCAGGTAAACAAAAGACAATCAGGAGATAATTTAAAGATAATTTAAAGATATTTGACCAGAGACCAATTGAGAATCAATTTAATTGTGATTATCTCTTTTGTTTACCTAATAAAATTAAGAAGAAGCTCCTCCTATTCTAAACACTTTATCCTTAACACCCTTTAATTCTTTTCACGTTAAAATCAATAATATATCCTTAATTTAATTTAATTAATTTTATTTGGTATTAAAAACACCGAAATAACCATTAATAAATAGTCAGACCATAAATTTAATCAATTTTCTGTAAAAATAATACATTTCGTGAAAATAGTTATCTTTTAGTTAAAATAGCCAGGATCCGTATTGATATCGGGATCCAATATCGATATCTATTTGGATCATAATAAAGAATCACCTGGACAAGAAAAAGGTTAAAGGAAATAAATTGGAAAACGAATCTAATTAAATCTTATTCAAAAAATTATTTTATTCAAAAAGAAATTATTTTATTGTTTAAATTAACAATAAAAATTTTCGAAGCCAAGCTTTAGTAGCTCTGGCGTTCATTTCGCTGGAATTTAAATTTTCTCGGCATGATTATATGCTAGATGCTCAGCGAGATTTTGCCAACGCTTGGTTTCTCGGAAGTTAATCACTTTTCCGCAAAATCTGCATCTTAAATCGTCCTTGGTGGCATCGAAACCAACCCAAATACCAAAACCTTTGTTCTCTTGGATTTTATTC